AGGTGAAGAAGAAAAAACGAGGTCGATGCTGTCAACCATCCAAACAGATGAGTTTGAAAAATGTTTCTAAGAATGGAATCATAGGATGATGAATGTATTAAATGTAATAGAGAGTACTTTGAAGACAATAAGGTTGTTTTGTAAAAAAAATTAAATACATAACTTTGGGGCGGGGGGGAAATGTGGTTGGGAGGGGAGGGTATCTCCTCGTATAATAGTTCCAGTAACATCTTTGCATTATGTGATATGTTCTCTGAAAGCCCAAGAGCAATGTTTTTTCACATAAAACTTAAACCAAATAAATTTTAAAACAAGCACACTGTCTTAAAAAAAACCTAGGTAGTATGCTTTAGTATATCAGGACAGATAGCTATTGCCAGTCGATGCATTTTAAATAATATGGAGAACAGTAGCACCTCTATATATAATTTAACTAGGATATCCAATTGGTTAGCAGAGTGTTGAACATTCAAGGTTGCAAAACATCAGCTAAATCAGATACATGTCCACCAGTTTACCTGACTTGACAATTATGGGAAATTACAAGTTGATTCTTTCACATGAGTGAAAGTTTCACCCAGGTTCTCAAAAGAAATATATAAATCAGTATTGCTGGTTATTAAAAGCCATACATAGTGTCTGTTCTAGGAGTCTATTAGCACAATCATATACTACTTACTTTCATTAAAAGCATATTCAAATCCTTCCAGGGTATCAGGAAAGTCAAGAGGTGGTTCATCTTTTTTCATTAGTTCATCCAAATCTATCCTAGATAATAAATCTAAAAAAAGAAATAACAGGATGTTGAATCATTTTCATAATTCATTTAAAGATAACATTTTAAAGTTATTTTAAGTGTTCTTTTGCTCTATACGTTTAATTTTCATCATTCCTCAACTGTTCATGCTATTAAAATTTTAATTTCAGAAAGGACAATAATCAAGCACAATACCTATATAATAAACATTTTAAAAATCATAATTCTCAAAAATAACAACATCTCAAACTCATGTGCCATTATTCTTTCTAACTTATCTTCTTCCCTTCAAATTATACAGCTAATAATTTGAACTTTATTAACCTCAATCAATAGTTTTATAAGTTTTAGAACTGAAAAATGATTATTAAAAGGTCACAAAACTTTATATATGTATTGATAACTATATAAATGATACTATATAACAATGTTATCTGTTTAAATAATAGTAATATAGCATATTAATCTTTCAGGGGAAAGTATAATATTAAAATAGCATGTGATAACTGTAGAAAACTGATTTACACAAAGCATTGTCTATTCCTCATTTCAGCAGAGGTAAATACTGTTATATACACAATCCTGCAATCATGATGATTTGTGAGTAGATGGATTGATACAGAGGTTGAACGGATGTGGGAATGAGAAAATTTGTATACGTGGGTATTTTTGCCATAAATAAGTCCATGAATATGGTGGCACATACAGAGGACAAGGTCGTAAAAACTTCTTACACAAAGCAAAGATCCTTGAGGGAATAAGTCCCTGGACCAGGGAGATCAGGACCATATTCTGGGCAGGCACCAACACCAACTGGCACCACAAAGTCCGCAAAGGCAATGTTCCACGTTCTTTTGAGTAGCCACCGACGGTGAACCCACAGACCTCTCCCTGTCCAGAGGAGCGGGAGGGAGGGAAAGCAGTGTAGAAAATCAAAGATGCATGGAAACAATTAGTCCAATAGAGTAATAGACTACACAGATCTCAAGCC